TCGTTACAGAGTTGACTTTCTCGACTGAACTGGGTCAGCGGAAATAACTTGTGCTGTTCCTCTATACTTGCGAGTAAACCGAACAAACCGTCCTCATTCTAATTCATTCAATTCTAAGAATGCCACCTACAGCTTCCATCTGGCTCCTAATTTTCCATTAAGTCATTTAGAGCATTTTTAAATTGAGTGCAGTAAAACCAAAACCAAATTTACCTCAACGACCAATCACAACGAAGGAAATATCTCAGAAAGCCAATAAGATCTTAGAATAAAAAACAGCAAACGCCCACGAGCGCGGGAAAACACACGTGACCAGGTCACCACTGTTTTTAGAACTGCTCCTGATTGGTTGAGATTGTAGCACGAGTATTTTAAACCAATAACAAAGCAAGAAAAGGCAAAAAGCAATGAAATCCCAATTATATTCGACACCCAATTGAAAATTGCTCCAACTCTGATCTGTTACTAATTCAATCATGGAGCCCACCTTCATTTTTGCAATACATATCTTGTAGTAATAACTCTTTAAAATTTAAATCAGAAATACACGTGATAGCTGTACAGAGGTAAATCTAGCCATCCTAACACGAACTACAGTTGCGACCAAGAGATAATAACCAGTTTAAAATCTTAAGTTGTTACATATCAAGACTAAAACGAGATTACTGTCTACCTAAGAATGAAGACGACTCATTCTTTTTCTTATCAAAAAAATAAAAATCATAAAAATAACAAGAGTATAAATGAATATGATCACGGTATATGCTCGATGTAACACCAGGGGAGGCGTTTCTCAGTAGTACCCAGTCTCCAAAAGGCGGGTTGTTTTTTGCTTTTTTGTTGCTGTTATTTTCTTTACGAGTCAACAAACAAGATCGTGGTATTCATAGTTTTAAAATTCAGAAATGAAAATATTAAGAAACCAAACATATCGGATATGTTTGAGATGATTAAGTTCTACTTTATACATTTGGATTTTTGAGTATAGTTTCGCGCTAGTTAAGCTACCAGTATTTTCGAGAAACGAACCTCAAGCCCCCCCCCCCCCCCCATTCATGGGGGGGCACTCAATTGTACGATTCCTTTTGCTCAAGCTGTCTATAGAGCGTTTCTCGATTGAGTGTAGTAAATCCAAAACCAAAGTAATCACAATGGCCAATCAAAAGGAAGGAAAATGCCTTTAAGAACCAATGAGATCTCAAAGCTAAAACAACCAAACTTCCTGAAGCGCGGGAAAACGCGGGCGACCAAGTCGTGATTGGTTTTAGTTTTGCATCTGATTGGTTGAGAGAGTGACATAAGTTTTCTGGACCAATGACAGAGCAAAAAAAAAACAAAAACAAAGAAATCCTGCTCTACTTTCGACTCTCAATTGAAAATTGCTCTCTTGGTCTGTGTTGAGTGTTACTTTAGAAAATAAATCATAACTAGACTACTGTTGAGTTAATAATCTTCAACTTTAAATTATTTCCTGGTAAATCAAATGCTTCCCCTAGTCAACGATTTAAAAGTTTCGAGGGCTTATGAAAGGCAAGCAAAGGTTAACCAGCTATGAGACAAAACAACGGAGGACGCCGCCAGAAAATCTGACATGCACAATGGAACTTGAGAAAAAAAACCTTTTTAATTGCTGGTAACAATGAAATAGAAAATAAAATTGAAAAAAAGTGTGGGAACTTCACAAGGAGCGAGGCGAAAAAAATTCTCACTTAGTGCAAATCGCCACAAATAATTTTGGTTCTGCGTTTTGTTAGTAAAGGTAATATTACACCTTCTCAAGGACTGCAGTGGAGTAGAAAAAAAATACACATGTAAAATGTGGGCTTAAGTTAAAGTTCATGGTAAAACCATTCAATGTTTCATTAACAATGTTTACATGCCTTGCGCCTCGCACCATCCATCTCCCAAGCCAATTGGTTTCCTTCCTCCAGACTGTGATTTGATCCACCAATCACAAGTCCGCAATCAGGACACGTGGTTCTGTGTATGGGGCCACCGCACTCACCAACGACGTAGGCGTGTCCATTGGGACATTTGAACCAATGACCCGTTTTGAAGTTCATGGCTGCCACGATCTGAGTTTTTTCCTCAGGTGTCAACGGCAAGAGAGCTGGGTGGGCGCGCCTAAAATTAAAAGGAGCAGCACATCATCCACTTCAATGAGACAACGACACGTCTCAAGAGATACTGAAAACAACTAGGAAAACTCCGGGGTAAAACAAATTGGATGTGTATTCTGGGAAGTGCAAAGGTCCAGAAAGAACAAAGAACTTTACAGAAAGATTTGCGCACCTGAAAATCAACTAAATTGACAAAGTGGAAGCTAAGCAAGGCAGAGGTGTAACTGGAAGAAACAGTCGCAGGGATCAGTCATTATTTATTGCCTTGGGGAGGGGAAGGGGGGGCGGAAAATTTTGGAGGGTCACATGGTTCTCCAGGGAAACACAGGGGATATCAGTCGCCGCCAAGAGATTATAAGGGGGGACTATAGAGAATTGTCTGCTAATTAACTGCCAAAGAGGGGGATTATGAAAATATTACAGAGCCTTATGGGGGATCAGGTGAAGTTGATTGTAACACAACTAAAATCCTCTAGCCCCCTCTCAAGAGATGAATAATGATAATTTCCTCAGTGAAAGTTATCCACCCATTTTGTCAATTACACTAGATATAAGCAAGTCGACAAGAGTTCAGGACCAAAAATATGACTTTGACGCTTAAAAGGGAGGAAGTTTTGATTTCAGTTTGCTTTTAGAGCATTTATTCTTATCTAGAAAACTCGTACTCTGAGATTCAAAGCCACAAGAGCATGAAGAGGAGAAAATCTCCCCTATCTACTCCGCGACTCCTATTCACTTCTTATTCGAAGACGCACAAAACTGCTAGGTACACCGGCTGATGAACCGGCCTGACCCTTGCAGTCATCCAATGAAGTAGCACGCACTTCAACACATAAAAAAAGGTTAAGTCACCTGATATCACCCAACTTTCCCAGGTACATATCAAGTCTCTCTTCCTTCACAATTCTGCCGCTGGACAGTTCATCTTGTATCGACGTCATAGTTTTACGGTAATTCCTCTTAAGGTTTAAGCCCAGGCTCCTGGCGTTGTGCCACAACAAACACAGCTCAAGTTGGAGGTTTTGTCGACTGAATTCAACTCTTATATCATGCAGTTCCCTCTCTGTGACTCCCTGAGACATGAAGCGTTTCCTCAGATACTCTAAGTCCTTCTGCACTGCCATAGCTATTCATGGAAACAAAAATAAGAAACTCATTCAGGAACGCCGGAATTTTCCATGTAAATGCAAGTGACCCTAAGGGATTAAGATGTAACTTCTTCTCCAAAAATCTATAATTTTTTAGCAAATAGATAATGGGAATAGATTTTCCGTTCCCTGCGAGATTTTCTAAGGCACTTTCCACTGCTACGTCGGTTTTAGAAAAATTTCCTATAGTGAAGTCCGATGGTCCGAGTGGGCTGGACCTCAAACGGACTGCTACTGGAATTCCTTCGTGCTGATTGGTCGAGAGCCACAGTCAATAGAAGTATCGACAATGTCAAGTCAAATTCGATTTGTGAGAACCTGGAGATCAAAGTCAGTATCAGAGCACCTACGCACCTACCCCTCCCCTAGCCGAACAACAGTCAACTGATAACAAGTCAGGGTTAATGTTGGGTTAGTTTAGGGGTAGGTCGACAGTTGGTCCGGTACCGACGTTGATCAAAATGCGCTTCTTTAATACCTATTGATAACCTCTGCCGTAATGACAATTGCAGTAAGACTCCACCGGCGTATACAACGGTTGATAAGAAACCTTCATAATTTCGTACTTACCTGTCATAACGATGTCAGTGCTCAAGTTTCGAGGTGCATGGCAGAGAAAACATTGATCCAACTTCTGTCTCATTACGCAAAACTTCTCCATAAACATCACCCGGTTTTCTGTAACTGCCACTGTTACTCTGGCCATTCCTTTCAAACTGCTCTCCAGACTTTTCCACTCCTCCATCTTGTCGGCAAAAATCGTTTTTAAGCCTGTAAGACGTGCTTGTAATTTCTGCTTGGTGAGTCTCATCTCGTTCGGATGACCGTGGGAACGTATCTTCACTTTCTCTATGTCGCATAGCTGCTGTTTAATAACGTTGCTGTATCGCAAGCTCGTACGAATGGGGGTGAGACAGCGAGGGCAGGACTTGAGTTTAATCGCGCCACTTTCTTCGTCGTCCATGTACCTGCAGAAAAGAGTGTGATATAGAATGTGCTATTTCCTGAAATTTGTCTCCTTTTCCAGGTAAAATGAAAACGTTTTGAGCCCATCTAAGGCTTTTTGTCAGCGGTATATATATTTGTGGCACTAAGTACTTCGTAGATTCAGTGTGGATTGTCTTCCAAGTTTACTTAACGCCATAGTCGACCACACCGCTGACGCGGCGATTTTGAGTAATGAATCCATTTTCTTATCATTACTGTCCATCCTCTATTCCAATTGGAATCTTATGGGTCTCTAAAGTTTCTTAAGTAAAATAAGTCGCAGACTGTTCTCGCTGTATTTTCAAATACTTTAACAAAAATTGGAATCAACTTACTTGTCAAGTCCTGTTACTTCAAATATGTGTTTACAGTCTGATAGTTTGATGAAACGTGCATCGTCTTGGTCTTCCTCACCAAAGAAAATTTCAGTAATGGGAGACCCGTCATTCTTGTCACAGGAGACACAAACACACTGCTCTCCACATAAACCGTAGCAGATATGACGACGTCTTCCGCATTTGATGATTTTGTTGCACCGTACGTTGCACCTTGGCCTGTTGCATAACTCCCCACAAAGCTTAGAGCACTTGTGATGCGGACATTTCCACGTGCATTCTTCACTGCATGGCACGCACAGCTCACCACACTTTCTCGCGCAGTAGTTATGCACGCATCGGTTTTCACATTGCCTTGAACACGGTGGACACGCTGCGATGCAAGATTCTCTACACTTGTGCGAACACACTAACAGACAATCACACCTTTGGTTGCACCGCTTATGAATTCGACCCATTCGACATTCTCCACAGGTTCCAGAACACTGGTGCCCACATTCCAATATGGAGGAGCAGGGTACTGGGCATTCGTCGGGCTTAGCAGAACACGCGACTGTCACATCATGTCCACATGGCCAATCCCGTCTCTTAACGAGTTTTTTGCAGTTTTTCGTGCATGGTTCTCCACATAAGTTTTGGCACTGGTGACCACACTGCGGGAGCTTCTTTTCGCAGTTTTCCTTGCACTTCACCCTTTTCTCATCCTGACCACACCTCATGGTATTGATGTGTCCACAAAGTGGTAGCATTTTCCGCACCAGAACCGCACAATTCGTTTCACACGCTTCGAAGCAAAGCTTGGGGCACTTGTGAGAGCAGCCGTTGATGGTATTACGGCATGGCTCTATACATCTGTAGTTCTCGTGTTCAACATCATCAGGATGACAGAGCTGTTTACATGTGTGACCGCACTCCAACCGCACGTTACACTCACGCTGGCATCCCCCATTAGGAACCTTTTTCTTAAAATCGCTGGCGAGTTTGACGCGGACTTCTGTGTGGTGAATCTGGCAAACCAGCTGTAAATTGCTGCAAATTCTTCCATTCGCTCTGAGATCTGTTACAATCTTCCGCCAGATGTCACTGTGAGTGGAAAGGAGGTCAAAGTCTCCGATGCAGTAGAAACCTTTCTTTGCACGAGAGAGAGCCACGCATGCGCGGTTGACAATCTTCAGAAATCCGACTTTCTTATCTTTGTTACTGCGCACGAGTGACAGAAGGATGATGTCATTTTCTTCACCTTGAAAGTTGTCAACTGTTGTCACACGGACACCTCTCAAGGATTGATCTTTTTCAGCTTTGAGAGATTCTCTGATGGCAAACATTTGTCCCATGTAAGTTGTCAGCAGGGTAATTTGATCGGCTTTATATCCTTGCTGCAGTAGATATCGACATAGGGCGACCAAAAACTTGGCTTCGTGCTCATTCACGTGGCTGTGCGACTGATAACACGACACTTCCGTGTAATTGTGGCTGATGAAGAACATGTTCTTCTTCATTCCTTTGATGTCTTCATATTTCTCCACCGACTCGTCATTCTCTAGATCGTCATAAATGTGTTTCATCAGGGCAGCGATTTCAGGTCTCATACGATGCTGTACGTTTAGCATCTCGCATTGCATTCCAACATTCACCATTCGCTCAAACAGGGACACATCCAGTTTGAACCTCTTGGCTAAATCATAGACTGCGGGGGTGGGTCTTAGCTGCTGATGATCACCAATTAAAATCAAATGCTGACAGCCTGGAGTCAATGAAGTAATAATGTGAGCCTCGAGTACTTCAGCGGCTTCTTCAACTAAAACAATTTTGGGGCGAATCCGCTGAAGAATACGGCGGTTTTTGCCGGCGCAGGTGGTTGTCATGCCAATGACACGTGCATTCTTGAGAACGATTGCGTTCTCCTCCTCCCGCAGCTCGTTCAAGCGAGCCTGAAATTTTTCGAATTCGGGTTGTTTGTCTTGTATTTGTTTTAAATAGTTTTTCTCAGCTCTCTGGAGCCATAGCCTGTATAGATTCCAGCGCTGTTGTTGCGATAACCCTTGTGAGAGGAATACGCGCTTTTCTTCGTTCTCAGGCATAACTTCTACAGCTTGGAGGTTTCTTTGTAGTCGCAAGGGTCTTTTAGAGTCGTTGATTTCGCAAATCAGCACATCTGAGGGCTTGGTTGCGATGCGGAAGTCACTTTCCTCTTGAGCATCGTCTTCATCGGCAAAGGTGCCGAACGAAACTTGCCTTTGAAAATCTTCGTCATGGAAATCACAAGTATCTGTGTCCTTGAGATCTTTTGCAGCCACTTGTTTCTCTACATCAAGCCATTTACAGAAGAATTCGTTCGCGTTCCGTTTATCTTGGTTGTCGAATTCTCTCTCAAACCACCGGGCGTGGCGTTCCAACATGAACTGATGTATTAAATGAAAGGACAGGACTCCTCTTCTTGCAAGCTTCATCACCAGTATTGACAGGTCTAGAGTTCCATCCTCCTTCAGCGCTCTAATTTTCTTGTTAGTCTTTGTTCTCGCTCTGGTAATTCTGCCAGGAATTTCCTTCTTTTCACGAGCTTGCTCGCGAACGAAGTGGAGCATATTGGGTTCAAGTTTTTCACTTTTAGACCGCCCACCGACACGAACAATCCCTATGTGGAAGACAAATGCAAAATCGAGAATTTCAGATCGCTTTAGGGACCAGTTGTCCCTTTTTCACTTGAGGGTGGTGGTTGGTCAGGGGAGGATTAGGGGGATCAGTCATCAGTCGTCAACAACAGAGTGTAAAGGGGGACTATGGGAAATTGACCGCTAATTAAATGCAAATGAGGCGGGGGGCTGGGGGTGGGTGTCATAAGAATTTTAAAGAGCCTTAAGGGTGGGGTTAGGTAAATCTTACCTTGCATTGGCAGAAGTCCTTCCAGGAACTGATCCAAGGCGTGATTCGTGTAAGACACCATTAAAATTGGTGTTGGCTCATCCTCTCCTTCCCAGAGGGAAGCTGTCTCCAAAAGAACACGCGCGATTTTCAAACCCACATATGTCTTCCCAGTCCCTGGCGGCCCTTGAATGATAGCAAACTTTTTGGTCAGCGCCAGTTGAAATGCTCGCAGCTGTGAGTCGTTAAAACCCAGGCTGTCTCGGTAGTCATGCAATTCGAAAGCGTTCACAAGATCTTGGCTATCAGTGGACATGTCTTCTTCGTCACTGTAAAGCACATCTTCGCTCGAGGTCAGACGGTGCTGCACAAATCCAGAGTTTCTGTCTCTGATAATGCCATATTCAACAAACGGGCGCAACTCACTGCTACCATCTATTTCACCTTGTAATATTCCACTCATGTTGTAGTCGAAGTTCGTTTGATGCTTGTGATCTGGAGCACCAATGACACTCTTACACTTCACAATGTGGTTTTCAAAGGGCAAGTCTCCAGGATATATTTCTTTCATACCTTCTAACACGTATCTGTACGCTTCAAAGAAGGCTTTGGATTCGACCATGTCAAATTTCGTCTTGGAATCGATCCATTCATTTAATGTTTCGAGATCCACACCTTCAAATCGCACATCAAGCTCACCCAGGCAAAGTTCTTTGGGATCTCGACCCTCGACTGTGGCAAAAAAAGGCGTGTAAAAGTCATCCGGTGCTAAACACAAGAGGGAACCATTCTTGAAACGCTTACATCTGTCCCAAGAGACTTTCCTCACAGTGTGGTGAAATGCGTCAAACCGGATCCTGTAGACCTTTCCTTTTGCATTACATACGGGATACAACACAGTGACGTCTCGGTAGAAGTACACGTCTTTGGCGCGTTCTTTGTCCTTGCTGCCACTAGCTGCTAGGCCGCCACTGTCCCTCCGAAGCTCCATGATAGCTTCCCGCAGTGGTATGATAAAGTCTTCTCGAACAAGCCGAAACTGAACATCTAAGTAATGTTCCAGATCTCTGTAGCCGCGCTGGTCGACAACATTGACACGGAGAAAGGGGTTATGTGAAATGCTAAGATCTGAGGCTTTTGGGAAAACACTGAGTTCTCGAAAACTCTGCGGGGGCTCGACTTCCAACTCCTCTTCTTCGTCCCAGTTAGGCATCATTTCTTGATTAATGACTTCTTGCCGCAGTTCTTTGACTTGGGAAACTTTCTTTTCCAGTGTACCTACATCGTGTAAACGCCTCTTTGCTTTTAGTTGCATCACGGTGTCTTCGAGCGCAGGCACAGGAATTTCGTGAGCTACTTCGCGTCCAAACCTCTGCAGGAAGTGGAGAAATACTTCCGCCAAACTGGAGATCAGATCAGATGATTGGAACTTATCAAATTCTGATCCTGCATAAAACGTCATTCGGCTGACGAAACCAGACAGTCGTGAACACATGAAATTGGTTTCTATCACCAAATGTAACAACTCTTCAACATGACATAAAAGTATATTACGGGAACAACAAAGCTGATGGAGTACACAGATGGTAAGCCTCATGACACCTGGATTTATTTCTGTCTTGGAACTTAGCAACGCTTTGAATCTTTCAGATCTGAGGTCTAGTTCCAATATCCTATTTTCATCTGAATCTGCTTTCCATATTTCCTCCAAGGCCTTGTATCCTAAAGGTACCGCCTCCTCCTGACTCTCCCCTCCCCTCGTATCTGTTAGGCGTCGTCGTTTAGGCGAGAAAGCTCGTGAGCCATATGACCATTTATCGCTCTCACTACGTCGCCTTCCTTCCTCAAAATCGGACGTTCGGTTTGTTCTACCAAAAGTAGCAGCTTCACTGTATCGTCTCTTGCGATTTCGCTCCATATTACATGTAGCAGTTTCTAGTCATGTGAATATTTTCTATCGTGAGCAGTGTCTTGGTTCATTGTTGGGCGACTTTGTTTAAACGTCGCTGTCGACAAAATGATTTCAGTTTAAAATATTAGCATTACCATGGAAGAAATTGCCAAAACTGTTCGTGGAAGATATGTAGAAAAATTTGAAATGACGAAATGTGAAATTCCCAAAGGAAACGTTTCGGCATTCACCACAACGCACATTGACCTTCGATAATTATTGAAAACAACATAAAAACCTTGAAAACATGATTTCTTCGCTTTTGTTTACCCGCAGAAAGCTCTCCTTTCTAACATTCCATACACCGTACATAATCTGAATTTTAGATGGAAAATAACTTACCCAACGACATTATGTTAACATTATCTAACTTTCCTTCCCTTGAGCATTAAATCGGTTTTCTAAAAGTTAGGTTTAGTTACCTCAGCGAAGAAAATATGCGTAATGTACGAGGGCAAAAATGGCTTCCCATACCAATGAAACTCCCGCTGCTGATAACGCATAATTGACCGAAAATCTCTCTTCATAAATCACTAGGGCTACATCACAGCTAAGCCACAAACTAGTTGCTCGTTATCAGCCTCAAATGCCTTTATTTAAATCTGCACAGCCGATGTTAATGGTAACAAAAATGTAAACCTTTGGTACTCGATCAACTCACTCTTACATAATTCTTGAACAAATCATCCTCAATTTAAGCTTGTAAGCATTATATATTTGTCACACAGTTACATGAACAGGAAACTGCTTTTCGATTTTCACTCAGCTAGATCTCTATGTTTAGACTACAGCTCTAAACACTGCCAAAAACGTGCAGGTTTTCCTGTGGATAAAATCAATCTTATCCAACGTAACTGCACGATGTAATTTCAAGGCTCCTCTGCGCTGAATTGTAACTTTGCTGCACCAGTTGTTTTCTACACCGCACTACAATCAATTTTCCGCATACATAAATACTATTTCTACATACCTTGACCTTTTTAAGAGCTGTTGAAAAGAACTTCCTCCGTAACAGACATAGAAAATGAAAACATTACTTAGTGTTTACTCTTCGCGGAAGCTTCCTCGAGACATCATATCAATTCCTAGAAAAGCGTCTTCCTCGTGATTGGTTGAATGTTCAGAGTTGACACGCAAACGAATCGAATTTCAATTTCAGCTAGAACCATTACACCAAGGGTTGTATGTGGGAAGAGAGGAGTTTACTCGTTAGTAGTGTCTATACAACAACAATAAAAACACGATGGATCAGCTGTGAAAGAATCTAGCGTGACCTTTTCACGACTCTCCGAAGCATCAGTTTTTGACTCGTGCAAACGGGTCTCTATGGGGACTCCGATGAGCAAATGAGTCACTGGCTCAATCACTCACTGTGGTAATGAGTTGTCCCGAACTCTACCGAGCGCGAAACCAGATTGGAGTAGTAACCGCGCATAAAACGATCGAGAGGCTTTTTTAGAGTTTATACTATATTTTCAAGCATTGTTGCTTGAAATATCACCTTCCAAGTGAACAAACATTTATCGAGTTCAGGCACAAAGCTAATATTGTTAATCGCTTTGATTTTTTTTTTATCTGATGTAAAACAAGAACCGTGTAAACATTGGCGGCTGGATCGATGAGAAGCGGACGAAAATAATCCTGTGCTCTTCTGACAAAAGAAAATTTGTGGAATTTATTGCCACATATCTTTAATATCAATCAGTCGAAAAAAAAGAACTTGCAGTCACATAAAATGCGTTCAGAGGTATTTCCGTTCCGAGGCAGGAAACCTCAAGGTTTGTTATCAGATACAAGTGCGTTTACCCTGTAAACGAAGATCATCATGTTACGGTGTAGATATTTATTGAGCAACTGTGAAGCGAAACGTGACATATTATTTGAAAGTAGTGGAATTTGGCTGTGCTGGGGAAAGAGCGATTTGGATTGCAGTGTCTAAATTTGACGAATTTTGCAAACGGCAATTTAATAAGCGCAGGATACTATTTTGTACTATTTTGTAGATTTTACATGCGATTTTTAGTCTGTGGGTTAGATGGATGATTTTGATTTTCCGGAGATAAGAGAAACCCTACATTGCTGCAAGACCAATAATTATAAGTTCACAACCATGTTTCATCTCTAGATCAAGTAGTTTATGCACGAGTTGGCCGCAGGTATTCTACATGCGCCGTTAAATTTAATTTTCATTACCTGGATCTCCTTAGAAGTAATCAGAATCACTTCTTACGAGAACAAAAGGATTATAGAGGTGGGAAAACGAGGATCACTTTTTGACCACTGGCTAATACTATTTCGCAAAATATTCTGATTTCGAGACAAGACATATTCGTGATTGATAGGAGATGTCACGCAACAAAATCGAGCGTGACTTGTACTACGAGGTCTTTATGGCAGTTTGCTTCGCGGAATTATTATTGTCTAAAATCGAACAACATCGGACACCACAGTCCAAAATCAGACACAAGTGTCTAAAATCGGACCCTAGTGTCCAAAATTGGACACTGGTGTATAAAATAGAACACTGGTGTCTAAACTCGGAAACTAGTCTCTAAAATAGAACACTTTTGTCTAAAAATATTTGATACTAATGTCTAAAAGCGAACACTAGTGTCTAATATCGGACAACAGTATCTCAGATCAGACACTTGCGTCCTAAATCGGACAACATCAGACACTAGTGTCTAAAATTGTACTCTAGTGTCTAAAATCGGACACTAGAGTCCGAAATCAGACACCAGTGTATAAAATCCAACGATAGTGTCTAAAATGAAACAATGGTGCATGTCTACAACCAAACATTAGTGTCTATAATCGGACACTAGAGTCCAAAATCGGACACCAGTGTCTAAAGAGAATTTGGCCCGTTTGCACGCATGCACAATTGTTGAGACCGCTTTGTTGTCATTTTTTTCCAGTTTTTATTTTATCATTGCCCTCTAAAGCGATAATAAGAATGATTATGATAGTGACCAAGTTAATATTCTGGGAATGAATATGTTTTCAGCTCTTCTTAGAATCATTTTCACACCTACCCGGCGGCTTGGGCTAAAAAAAAATTTGAGTAGGGCCCAAAACATATTAATGCCCATGAACATGAAGTCTCTTGTTTTGTTAGACTTCTTAGGTAAGCGTTTGAAAGCATCCTCTAAATCTAGTTTAAATGGTCCATTTTTTCAGCGAAAAAAATCAACTTGTTTTAAAATTCGGAGAGAATTTTCTCGAAAAGAGCTGACTTTGAAACTTGCACACAATAGCCGGCTTAGCATGCTCTTTCTAACGCAATATCCAATTTTTTAAGGAAATAAAAACCAAGAATATTCTTTTCTTCTAATAATGGGTGGGGTTTTTTTTTTAATTTTCTTGAAGAGCGGATGTGACAAATGGTACGCAGAAACTTCTAGAAAACGCTAAAACCCTAACCCTACTTTTTCCGATTCGAAAAAAATGCATTAGACGCCGTGTAACAACAACCAAGCCGTCAAACGTCTGCGCATGGGCGAACATTGCAACGACTGGGTAACGTGCTTTCAGGCTGTCAGAACAAAGTTGTCTCACGCAAGTTACGAACAACAGCGACACAAGGCAGTTAAACTTGGTGTTTTAAAAGCGAATAATTTTTTGGTAAAGCTCAAAACAGAATGGTAAAATAACAGGATACCCGTACTTGCATAAGTTTTGTGTTCTAAAGTCTTGAATTTTCCTTTTCTCTACTTTCGGTTCTTTTTAGAAATTTCTATGAACGCTTCAGTTTTCTTTCACTGTTTCAGCGAGAGAGCGGTTGTTTCTTATGTTTATCCTTTGATATTTTGCGCGGGAATTTGGCGCGCGACAGGCCAGAATTGATCCCTTTGCGCATGCCCGACGTTTGACTGTTGTGTTCGTCATTCGTAACGACGCGCCATTCGCTTTCTGCTTAGTGCTTCTTTTCCAGCATTCTATGGCGCTCGTTTTGGTTCACTTACAGCCCGCACCGCATTTTTATATGCAGAGGAAATCAAACTATCTGCTACAAACTTGTATTAATTTCTCTAACGTTTGGTCTAAACCATGCACGCGAGACGTACAGCAACAAATCACAACTAGTTTAGCTTTGCCCTTCATGTTACACCCCCTAGTCTACTAAATGTATAATTAATAAGCTGCCGATTACGTTTTAAACTCAGTTTTAAATCTTTTTACGCCTCATCCACGATCCTGTAATTTTCCATGTTCGCTTGTTCAGACCAGGCCGGGTGTCTCGCACCATCCATCTCAGGAGCTAATTGGTTTCCGTCTTCCAGTCTGTGTTGTGCTCCACCAATCACAGCTCCGCATTCATAGCATGTGCTTTTCTGCATGGCGCCACCACACTCACCTATAGTGTAGGGATGTCCGTTTGGACATTTGAACCAATGACCTTGTTTAAA